CTCAAGAATCCAAGAAAACCTTCCACAGAGACACAGGAAGGCCCTGGAGGAGAACGTGAACTGAGTCGTGCAGGCGTTCGCCCTGGGTTCCCGTGGAGAGCAGGTTTAAACCCGACAGCTGCTGTTCACATTCTTAATGTGCTGTTGGGAGGGATCCGTGGGCTGCCTCGGGCTAGCTCAGTCAACAGTCACTCTGATGAGAAATACAGCAGTCAAAGGCACAGACGGAAAAGCCAAATACCTGTCAGGCTTTTTCACACTCCAGTGCTGCCAGAAGGCCTATAAAAATGTCATTGTCTCTCAGCTGCCAGTGATTATATTACCCTTTACGTTGGCTGTTGGTAATAAAAAAAAAAAAAAGCAAATATCATTTTTTTTTTTTTTTTTTTTTTTGCACTGCTCTGGCCTTCCCCTGGCCTTTTTCAAACAATAATAGACTAAATATAAAGAGACAGAAGCCATTACTTGGCTCTTTAACTAGTGCCAAGGAAAATGAATAATTAAGGAAACATTACTTGAAAGAAATGTACACAGTTGCTTTTAAGTTAGAACCAAATAAGAGGTCTTTAAAAATACATCATTTCCCCTTTATCTTAACATGGCATTCATACAGTGGTCTCATATATTATCCTTGCTACTGTTTAGATCTTACCAAAGGGGGAAAAAGCTTTTAGTTTCCATTATCCTATTAAAAGTCCCAAATCAAACAGAAACACAGAGGAGACGGGAGGGGGAGGGAGGCATGGAAGGGGTGTTCTGTTTGTACAGCTTCGTTCAAATCTAGCCTGGTAGCCAATATTTAATTTTTTTTCACCTGGGGCGGCCATTCCAAACACCATTCTCCCACTCCGCTTGAACATCTGCCTTGGTTGTGGGAAGGCTGGCTAACTGTGGAATGTGTGCTCCATTCTGTCTTTTTAGGTTACTAAAAATAAGCACACTCGGGTCACCCTGTCCAAGCATCGGCAGCCAACTGCATGCTGGGTAAAGCCAGTTCTCGCAGGACAAAGAGAGCCCACTCAGGCTTCCTCGTGTTCTGGCTTGCCCTCCCAGTTCTACATCTCTCTCCTGTTCCCATCTTTCCCATTTGGTTGTCAGCCTCCCTTGTACAAGAGAGAATTCGACTGAGCTTGCAATTAGCCCCAGTGGCATGCCTCACGCACAGCTGTCACCCAGGTAATGATCTGTCTCTGTTAGAGGGGACCCAGCAGGAATGGAGCAAGAGGAAGTGTAGGGATTAGAGCGACTGCCCAGCCTGTGTCTGTGTGAGCCTTCCGAGGCTTCTGATGTGGCTGGTCCTTGTGGCTTGAAAAACCCTAAACTCTGCATGAGTCCAGGTGTTCAGCTGTCTGTTCAGGTGAGACTACGGTCAGAGAGACAACCTGGTCCCTGGTACCAACATACCTCACAGATGTAATCACATTTTGAGCAAAGGCCTTTTAAAATGTGATTATACTGAATTGTACCCACTACGCTGGGGCCCTAGTCCAATGACTGATGGCCTTACGTCACAGCACAGATGCACACGTACTGAGAAAGAACGGTATAGAGGCAGAAAGAGAGCCATCTACGAGCCAAGAATGGCTTCCTAGAAACTCTCCCTGTTGCACCTTGACCCTGGACTTCCAGTTTTGGTGACAAAATAAATTTCTATTGTGTAAACTAGCCAGTCTATAGTATTTTGTTGCAGATGCCCAGAAGACCAGCACACTCTGCAGACATCAATCATTTGTCCCTTCCTGAAAACAAAGTGGCTTCTGAGGACATCATAACAAAACACTATAAACCAGATCACTCAATGTCCCCAAGAAGGGTCAAGATCAAGATATCAGCAGGGCTGGTTCCTTCTGAGGGTCAGGAGGAAGACTTGTCTCTTGCCTTGAGGTGTTTGTGGATACCCAACATTCACCTTAACCTCTCTATTCTGTGTCCAAATGTTAGTGTTTTCTGAGACATCAGTCACACTGACTCATTCTTCATAGTTCCTTGGCCCCCGCACTGGAGAGCAAACTCAGAGTCTTGGGAAGGTAAGCCCTGTAAAATGAGCTCTGCTCCTCTTTAGTGTAAGTTAAATAAAGCACATACAATAAAATTGTGTGTATTAAAGGTCAGACTTGGTGGGGGCACAACCTGTAACCCTAACACTTGGAATGCAGAGATGGGAGGATCAGGAGTTCAAGGTCATCCTCTGGTGCTTTACAAGTTCCAGGCCAGTAGCCTGGGCTACATGAGATGGCATAAGACCCTTTCTAAAACTGAAAGGAAGGAAGGGAGGGAGGGAGGGAGGGAGGGAGGGAGGGAGGGAAGAAGAAGAAGGAAGGAAGGAAGGAAGGAAGGAAGGAAGGAAGGAAGGAAGGAAGAAGGAAGGAAGGAAGAGAATTTTGTATATCCTTCCAAAGAACAACACAGTGTTTTCCTAGATTGTGGAGTGGCCGAGTCCTGGTTCACTCATCTTAACTTGATCATTCACAAAGGCCTTTTTTTCCAAATAAGGTCACATCCATAGACACTTGTGATTAGGAGCTCAACATCATTTTGGAGGACCATAACTCAACCCTCAACTGGTACCTACCAAAATGCCTTCACGTCTAGAATGTAGATGCTGGACAGGTGTCTGGGGGTGAAAAACACGAGATCAGCTTCTCCCTGCTTTATCTAAACTCATCCATTCTACTTACTGATGTTTCGGGTTCTCTCATCGTCAACTAGGACTTTCTGGGTCCAGAAAAAGGAGAGCTCTGATGTCCTGAAAAACACACTGCCCTATCAGGTTCCTTTTTCAGGGCGGTGGGATGACTAGAGGGCTACTGCCTCTGGACTCTCATATGAAGAAGGCGGTGGGACCTTGTGGGAGGGTCACAGCTGCAGAGATTTATGCCATGGCCATTCAGATGCACACACTTCTCCACTGTGCATGCTTCTGTTCTGTGGACTTGGTCTTGGCACCCAGGGCTGACAACAGTGCTTGCAAGGATCCTCACACAGGCTTACACACACGGCCCCACCAGGCTTAAAGCTGAGGAAATCAGAAGATAACAGCAGATGCTTCCGACAAGAGCAAGGTGGGAACTGAAGAAGACAGAGGGGTGGAGTCTTTAAGACCCACCCTGACTTGTTTGCCTTGCCCAGGGCTGGCTCATTTCACATCATCACAGGACAAGGCTCGTGCTTTAAAGAGGCTTCCAGGGAACTACAACCATTTGGGTTTTTATGGAATGAGTCCAGGTGATTAGGGAAGAGGCAAGACTTGGGCAAAGAGAAACATCTACAAAGCAGCCCCGCTGCACACACGTATTTGCTCTTTCAAAGCAAATTCTGCAGGAAATCCCAGCTGCTGGTGCAAGCCTTCCCAGTTAATTTGTTCCCAGGGGAATACCGGCGACCATTATCCCAGAAGCATACACATGAAAATCCCATTATCTGAAGTGCATTCCTTGTGTTTCTGTTTAACTCTAGGCTGTTGTGCACCGAGAAGTTTGGAGTGCGAGAGAGAATGCTCAGAAGTGATCTCCACTGCCTTCTGCCAACAAGAAGGGTACCTTCTTGGGGCCACATGAAGGATGCCATTGTGAGAGAGTGTTTCAAGATAGCAGCAAGATATGGGCTGGGGTGTGGGTGTTGGTGTTGGGAGGTGGTAGGTGAGCGTGAGGGTGTGTGCCTTTGTGTGTGAAGGGGAAGGGGGGACAGAGAGAGTAGTGTGTGTGATGGGTGGGTATGTATGTGGGGGGTATGTGTGGGTGTGGGTGTGCATATATGGTGGGTGGCCATGTTATATGTGCCTGTAGTGTGTATATGAGTGCATGCACACACAAGCATAATGATTTTGTGACTTGATTGGTCCTGTGGGTGACTCCAGGCTATACCTCCACTATTGCTGGCCACTTCATGATTCTAAAGTTCTATCTTTGGGGAATCCATTGTTCTCAACAACTTTTAACTCCTAAAGTCTTTCCACGAAGGCTCGGGGCTGCTCGGGGCTGTACGTTACTACTTTGCTGGAGGGCTGGGATAAACTATCAGCAAAGTACATTATTTAATTACAGCCTGCCCTTCCTCGTTGCCTTTTCTGCAGGCTGACTCCGCCTGTGGCTCTTGTCAGTGTTGAAGACACACCAGGCATGCCTCTCCCACGTGTCACCTTCGCCCAGTTAACTTGCTGCTGCAACCGCCCCCCTGTTGGGCTGCTCATGTACCATGGCCTTCCTTTCTCCTTCCTGCCTCCTCCTTCCAGAACCCTAGTGTGACACAGCTCCCCACCACACACCTGGCACAGACTCAGGAGGAAGGCTATAGTGTGCTCCAGCCATCCCCCTGATGAGTTCAGCAATATGGATAGGCTAAGGACCCAGATGTTGACCTTGTGGGTGTTGGGCCTCTACAGCCAGTCACAGACACTGTTCACTGTTCTGGTGAACCTTTCATGGGCACAGTGCTCCTGACTGGTCAGTGAGAGTTTGATGCCCTTCTTAAACTTCTAGGGTTGTGTCCATCAGGACGCAAAAGAAGTGGCTAACAATCCACAGCCATACATCGGCTTCCATCCTCTCCAGGCCGAGCCAATGCTTTTCTACCAGCCTTCCCAATACAGGAAAATGCAAAGGGCAACCTTACACCATCATCATCGGCATCAGCACCACCATGCAACCAACCTGGTCCTCATGAGGCCTACTAACTGCTTAGCTCACTGTTATCCAATCACTACTCACCAGCTTTGGCTCTTGCTGTGGCAGCAGTAGACACTGGCCAAACCTTCATGGAGAGCCCCCAAATGAAAAGTCATAGTACCGTGCGATGTGCCAGGTGAATGAGGCAACGACATGTGACAATCTACGCATCGGTTAGATGAAAGAATTCTGTTTCTGTTGCACCTTTTGCCTGCATTTGTATTGCATCCACACATTAGAGAACAATACAGAAGATCCATCCATATTAAACATCCAAAACTGTTCAGGGGAGGAAAGGGAGAGAGAAATTTTACTTTGGTATAGTTGTGTGTTTCCTCGATGGAAGCTTCCAGTCAGTCAATGAGAAATGTCTTTGACGTCTGCCCTTATGATACACACCATTAGGTGCCAAGTCATGGAGGGGACCTGGGATCCTCTTTGAAACCTGTTGGCAAAGGCTGTGTGAGACTTTGGAAGACAGAGGACACAGAGGGGGCTGAAAGACAGAATCCAACATGGCTCCCGTAGGAGCAGAACAAGGGTAGATTGTACCTTCTCTCTCCACTGCGACTTCAGGAGGATTGTGTTCGCTTTGAAGTCATTCCCAAGGTTTGTTTTCTAGAAGTTAATAAAAAAACCTTCAGGCTATGTGTGATGGGGGGCACTCATGATCCCGGCACTCTAAGAGCAGAGGCAGAAGGACTGCAGCAAGTTCATCAAGGCTTGTCTGGTCTACACAGCAAGTTCCAGGCCAGCCAGTGCAAACGCAGCAAGACCGTCTCCCAAAACCCCAAACAAACACTCAAAAAACCTTCAGGAAACACACCGTTGTAGAGGGGTAGAATTCAGTATCATATGTCTAGTAAGAAGTAAAATGTTGCGTTTTGTCGAACATAAACAAATATTAATATGCAGTAAAGAAGACAAGCAGAAGCCCGGTGTGAGGAGTGGATTGAATTCTTAATTGACTTGTGATCATGTCTGATCACCCATTCTCTCCCTATACTCATTACAACTACTTCACAAAGAAGCCCATTCATTTTGTATCAGTCGTGTCTCTCTAATGAGAAATAAATGAGGGATCCTCTTTTTAATTGCCCTAGTGTGAGTCCCCTTTTTAGTTATAATGTGCTGCCCAAAGCCTGCTGCTTAGGGGCTCTTCCTGCCTTTAAGGGCTTGTGAGTGCCTCTCAGCAGCTTCCTTGCTGGAATAAAAAGGGGCCCCTCACAGCACCTCAGCTGCACACAATTAATCCCCTGCCAGGATGCTGTTGGTTGAATGATTCAGCAGCCTTTCAAAGGGCCTGACTAATCTTCATGCACAGCCAACATGTGCTACGAGGAAGTTAATCCAACATGCAACATCAAGAAATTAACCAGATTTACTCACGGGGGGGGGGGGGGGTGGGGTTAAGGCTCACAAGCCAACAGAGGAAGGCTGAGAGGGGCAAAGAAGCCCCACGAGGGCAGCAACTCTGTCCTGAGGACATGAAAATGTCCTCCCAACCAAGGCCAGGCAAGTCCCCCTGATGCCCACTAGCTTTGGCACTTGGCACTTTGTAAATCAGTATTATTTTGAGGGAAACAAATTCTGTAATGAAGTAAGTTTTGGAAACAATGTTAAATCAGATTTTGTTCCTAGCATAAAACTTCTCGGAGTTTATACTTTACGTTGCTAATGGGTCTACTTTCCTCTTATATGAATGCCCTATAAAAGAGTGAACTTGTCAAAACTAAGAAATTAGCCTCGGTAGATTACTTTTAGTTAAAGACATTGTAGGTTTTACCTGTTTCCGGTTGGTTGGATTTCATTCCACAACACTGCCCCATCCCCCAAATCCAAGGTCATATTGAATTTAGTCAAATGCAACTGTAAATTTTTGATAATTTTCTTTTAAAATAATTGTAGATTTACAAAAAAGTGCAAAAACAAAACGCACACAGAGCTTGCCCTGTGCCCACCACACAGTTTTCTCAGTCACGGCATTCTGTGTAACTCTGCCATGTCAAAGCCGTGAAGCATCAGCGTGAAACGGAGTGTATTTGGTGTCACACACATGCATTTCCCAGTCAGAGACAATCATGAACCCCATCCTACCCCAGGACCAAGAAGCTCAAATGTCTTCCCAAAACACAAAGTCAGTCTCTTGGCCCCAAGAGGACATTAGCACACACAGGAGGACCGGGGAGCATTCTGTCCCTCGAGCACACTTCTCAGAGACAAATGTTGTCCTGGAGAGACCTCAACATTCTGAAAAGAGCCGGTCTGTGACTAGGAGTTACAACGGCACAGATCCAGACCCTTAAATGTCATTGAGCTGTGCTCTGATCCTTCCTTTCCTTTATAACCTCAGCTCTGCTCCCCAGAGCATGTGTGTTACATGAACAGGAAATATAGTGGCCACGGTGGGCTGGCCGACAGTGCAGCACCACACGCCAGCCCTGACTACCTGAAACCAGGCAGCCCACACAGCGCATCGCAGTGTAGAGACTCCAGTCCACATCTCAATGTCCTAGAACCAGTGATTCTCAATCTTTCTGATGCCGGGACCCTTTCGTACAGTTCCTCATGTTGTGCTGATCACCTCCCACCATAACATGTATTTTGTTCCTACTTTGCAACTGTGATTTTACTGCTGTTATGAATGGTAATATAAATATCTGATACGTGACCTCCTAGAGGGGGTCGCGACCCACGGGTTGAGAACCACTGCTCTAAAACATCTTTGGGGTGGAATGAGGTGAGATCTTTACTATTTTGCACAGCCTCTTCGGTGTGGCTGCTTTGACCCTGAGTTTGATAGATTCTGAAAACAATATCTCTTTTATGTGTAAAACAGACATTCGGCTCACCCCCAGGGCCCTGCCTCTCCTAGAGCCAGATCACCATCTTTTACACTCATGTCCTATCCCCAGCTGCCATCCTCGAGACCATGGATGACTCTGTGGGTGCGACTGGGAAGGCTTCTTAAGCCACATGGATTTACATTTTGGTGAGACTGGTTCAGCGCAGTGCCTGGTCCACAGATCCATGGCCTCCCAGATCCTGCCAAGCTAGAGCTTCATGCCTGTCACCAGCAAGACCTGTGCTTTGAGCTTCACACGGAGATGGAGTAGATTACGAGATGCCGTACATTAGCTCTGCCCCGGTGAGCCTGACACACGTGCACGCAAGGGTACGGCGCTGAGTCCGCATCGAAGATTAGGTCATAAAGCTCTTGACCAGGAGTGAGAGTTCAGGCAATGGTCACAAGACGGTTTTCACCCCTGTGAGTAGACTCGGGAGTCAACCAGCAGCCTTGATATCATTAATAATGAGCTGTCACAAGACTGTCCCAGCAGGCCAAGGGAGTGAGAGGGGGATGTATAGATTTTGGTGAACAATTCATGAGGGTGTCCCGTCTTTAAAAAAGAAAGAGAGAGGAAGAGAAAGAGGAAGAAAGAAAGAAAGAAAGAAAGAAAGAAAGAAAGAAAGAAAGAAAGAAAGAAAGAAAGAAAGAAAGAAAGAAAGA